ATCACAAAGGCCAACTGAGAACTGAAACCATCTACCCCACACTCAGCCCAGACACAGAGAACCCAAACTACACCTGCGTGTCTGCACTAAGATGATTTTTGTGCTATACCTCTGTCTTCATTAGCATGACTTTATTTATTTAAAGATTTTATTTATTTATTCATGAGAGACAGAGAGAGAGAGAGAGAGGGAGAGAGGCAGAGACACAGGCAGAGGGAGAAGCAGGCTCCATGCAGGGAGCTCGACATGGGACTTGATTCCAGGTCTCCAGGATCATGCCCTGGGCTGAAGGCAGCGCTAAACCGCTGAGCCACGCAGGCTGACCAGCATGACTTTATTTTTCCAGGAGTCTCCCACCCAGGCAAATGGCTTGATTGGTCTTTGCAGATTTCCCCAAAGACTCATCAACTCTTCAATGGAAAGCATCACAGACAATTTACACCCGAAGTTTCTTGGGATGCTTTACCTCAAAATCCTGGCCTTGCCACTTATTGTGGACAGTCATAATTCTTGCCCAATTCCAATAAAGCTCTCCACTTTGGAAATCCTGCCTTAAACCAAACTTTCAATTCTCAATAAATTCTGACCTTACCTTTCCCTTTCTGAGACACTGCCAAAGCTTTGCCTGCTGTAAGCAATAAAGCAGCTTTGTCTTATGGATAGTTTGAGTTGGTGATATTTAGGAAGCCAGTTTTTGACAATAAAACAAATTTTTGTTTTTAAAAAGAAGGAACAAATGGTGGATGATAAAAAAAAAGCCTTGGAAATACAGAGAGAGCGTGACAAAGTATAATTGGGATGATTAGAAATGCTTCGTAAAGGAGTGATGTTTACTCTGATTCTTGAAGGATGAACAGGAATTTGCCAAGAGAAGAAGGGGAGGGGGATGGTGCTAGCAAGGTGAGGGGGTTCTAGGCAGAGGAAACAGGGGGTGAGGGGCCCCAGTGGAAACACAAGAGATGGTAGAGGTGACCAAGGCAGAGCTGAGTCTTGAGTGGGATCTGGTTGCTGGGGATGGGAGTGTGCTAAAAGGAGGTTGCCGAGAGAGCTGTATCCATACGGTAGCTGGGTTGAAATCTGGAGGGTAAGGGTGTGATACTGGAGTCTTTTTGCAGGATGTAGTCTGCATCCAAGGTTCATGCTAGCAGCACTGCAGAGGCTCTTTTGAAATACGGACATGGGCTCCCATTACCGCAGGGCAGGCCCCGTGAGCATGTTTGCTGTGGCTGCTTCACCCTCAGTGAATGCAAGAAAAGGCACCAAGCAAAGATCTGACTCCATATTAACACTCTTTGGGACTTGGCTTCTAATTGGGGCAATTACTGCATGAGCTAAGTGGTATAAGTATACTGAAAGGTGGTGAGTGCTGTTTACAGATGGAAAGATAAGTAATTGTATGTACGGCTGGACAGGTTTTCTCAGCCCACTCCTGCCCTGATCTTTTTTTTTTTTAGATTTTATTTATTTATTCATGAAAGACAAACAGAGAGAGGCAGAGACATAGGCAGAGGGAAAAGCAGGCTCCCTGTGGGGAGCCCGATGTGGGACTCAATCCTGGGACCCCAGGATCATATTCTAAGCGGAAGGCAGACGCTCAACCACTGAGTCACCCAGGCATCCCTTTAAAAAAAAAAAAAAGATTTATTTATTTATTCATGGGAGATGCAGAGAGAGAGAGAGAGAGAGAGAGAGAGAGAGAGGCAGAGACACAGGCAGAGGGAGAAGCAGGCGCCACGGAAGGAGCCCGGCGGGGGACACGATCCCGGGACTCCAGGATCACGCCACGAGCTGAAGGCAGGCGCTAAACCACTGAGCCACCCAGGGATCCCCCGAGGCGTCCCTTTTTAAGTAGTTTCTATATCCAATGTGGGGTTTGAACGTACACCCCGAAGGCACCCCCTGCCCTAATCTTTCTTCTCTATATTACCTCCTATGGGAAAAAGGCTTTGGTCAGAACCATATAAAGCAAGATTGTCTAAGTGTAATGAGAACTCATCCAAGTTAGGAAGCTGGTTAGTATCAGCCAGTGAGAGATGCGTCCGTCCCAGCGAGAGATGTTCTTCCTCATGGCTCCGGAAGGCTTCAGCCCCCATTTGGAGGAGAGCTGGAGCCAGAAACAAATCCACTCCCTCCAAAGACCTGGGAATGAGTGTGAGAAAGTATGTGTCATTGCAGCTGGGACTCCTAGGAGAGTTCCCGAACTGAGCTATGCTCTCAGAGTGGACAGAAGAGCAGAGAGTGTGTACAAAGGGTGAAGGAGAAGGGTCTCCTGAGCCCCCATCCAATACTTGCTCCATATTGTTTAAAAGAACAGCATAAAAATGTCAGTATGTGTCTGCATCTTCTTCTGAGCTCCGTGTGTCCTCAATCAGCTACCAAATGGTCTTCTTTTTGGTAATGAGCTGTACCGAGCATTCTTTCAAACACCTTAGATAGAAGCTGCGGGGCTTCACGCATTTTTTTACAGGCTGTAATTCCTGTTGTAATCTTATTTCCCAACTGAACAAAATTCATATGGAATGTGGAAAGCAAGCCAGAATTTGCTCTTCAATCTTCCCCAAGCCTCTTCCACACAGAATATGAGATACCCTTTTAGTTTTTCTTTATAGCCAGCTTTCCACGACTCCACATGATGAATAATTTAGGAGTCTGAAGAGCAGCTGCTACATTAGGAAGACCTCCAAGCCCAGCACGCACTCCCTCACCCATAACAGGCCTCCTCGTGTGTATGCACCTGACCCAAGGTGAAAAGAGGCTGAGGAGACTCTGGAAGGCCCAGTGGGTCTGGTTCACCCTCCAACTTGGTGATTTTAACTGTTAAGTACATTTAGAAAATGATCTGGAAGGAGGGAGAGTTCTGACCCTCCTTGTCAACTAGTGAAATTACAAATTGTCATTATTTTGAGAAAATAACTGTGTTCTCATTTTTTTTTTCTCCTTGTAGACTATAAGATAAAGGAATAGGCTACCAGGTCTCCCCAGAGGTGACTCCAGAGGAGATTTATAATGAAGCTCTTGATGTAATTGGGTTTCGGTTAATGTAATGGATTCTCAATATTTAACTTCACTGTATTCCTTGACCATTTGGACCCCTGAAATGAAAATTCTGAACCAATTCTTTTTTTGTTTGTTTGTTTTTTATGGAGGAAGGAAAAAGGGCAAGAGGGGTGGGGTGTGAATGGCATATTTCAGTAGGAAAAGGTTTGCATTTTAGGCAAGATGACTTTCCATTTCAATCATGCTTCAGGACCATGTGCCCGCAGGTGACCCCAAGACCAATCCCTTCGGCTGGGGCAGAGGGGAGCCAGGTTGGGTGCAGAAGGACAGCATCTGGAGGACTATAAGGAGAATGGAATGTGGAGTACCAGATCCCAGAATCCTGACATCTAGACAACTGTGACCAAGAGCACTACCCCCTCCACCCCCATGAGAACGGGGTTTCTCATCCAGCCACACTTGGGCACACCTGCTAATGCTTGTCCCCATGTCTGGAGGGAAGTAATGACGGGATGGCGGGTGGGGTAAGGGAGACAGACAGTGGCCAAGGGACAGCTTTCGGGGCAGGAGGAGTGTTGAGATGCCAGTGCTACCGGCCCCTCCCTTCTGCTTGGGATCCTGGCTTTTCCACGGTCTCCCCCCGTGTCATGGAGCTGCTTCAGCAAGGATTCGGGACCCCCAGCAGTGGGGGGGCAGGTGGATGACAGGAGGGAAGGGCTTGGCAGAGGAGGCAGGTGAGGTGGATCCTGGAGCACCTACAGCGTGCCTGGCTGGGGGCCCAGACAAGTCTCTCCCCCTTGGAATTGGCCAAGGGGAATCTCTTCTACCTCCACCCCCAGAAGAACAGTCTGAGATTCTGCTTCCTCACTTACTGGGATTCAAGGAGAAAATGTCATCATATTTCCAATGCGTCTCATGACCTGAAGTGCAGGATGCCTGACCTGTGGGTGTGGCTCCAGGGAAGGTCTTGTCTCCTGCCTAAGACTTCCTCTGGCTCCTTAGGGGGATGGGGGGGGGAACCCCACTCCAGGTAAAGCCCTTCCTGGCTCACAGAAAAGCTGTGGCCCCACTCCTACTGGGAAGGTAGCCTCGCCCCACCACTGCTGGTACTTTGTTACGAGTGTGCCATCTGGAGTCCAGTGGCCTGGCTGTGCTCCCCTGCCTTGCAGGCTGATGAATACTCACTGCTTCCTAGGCTCAACTGCTAACTCTGGGCTGCAGGCAGGCCCTTTCTATGCAGCCCTCTGTCTCCCCACCTCCCCAAGTTAAACCCCCGACCCCCAGGGTTCCTTACAGGAGAGGGAGGGAAGGATAGAAGAAGAGAGAGAGGAAGGAGGATGGAAGAGAACTCTGGATGGTGGTTATACCAGGAATACATCACCCCATTTCATGCATACCCTACCTCACCTGTGCCCGGAGAGCTGCTCCTCGCCCGCCCTCTCACGCCACTGCCTGCTGGAAGAGATAGAGGGTGATGGACGGCTGACCTCTGGGGGGTCCCCCTCCCTGGACCACTCCCACCCTCTGCTCCTTACTGCTGTCTCAGACCGGGACCGGGCTCTGATTATTTTACTAACAAGCATCTCCAGTCCTGACATCTCTGGCACCCTGGAGCAGACATGAGGTCAGAACATCCCACACCCCCCAGACAGACAGAAAGACAGACAGAGAAGTCTGCTGAGGCCATTGCTGAGGAAAGACGATTTTAACCAAGATAGCAGGAGTCTGAAGCCCCTGGTGGACTATGAAGACCTCTGCCACTCAACACTAGCACAGAGGCTGTACATGGCATTTTAATAGCCCTGCCAGGAAACAACGTGCCTTCATCTCCTGGGAGAGGCCAGGGGAGGCTGGATAAGCAGACTGGGGTCATCCAAGCGAGCAAGTGGCAGGCCCTGGACTCAAGCCTGGTCCCTGTGTCTTGAGACCCCTCTGCCTGCCTGGTCCCCTGCTGCTGCTCAGGAACCCTGTGGGTGGACCTCTCAGAGGTAAGGACCACTCACCTTCCTCCTCCTGGCCCTTTAGCTGGCAGCTCATGGTCATCGGGGCTCCTCAGCCCCTGGGCTGACTCACACCACTTGCTGGTCCACACACACCTTCAGTTGGGGATGCTCTCCTGCCCTCATGGCCCCCAGGATCTCTTTCTGAGCCCCGACGGCAGCCAGGGCTCCTTGGCTTGTTTGAGATTGAGCTGGAGGTGGGGAAAGGTTGGCAGAGAGGTGGGAAGGAGGTGGGAGCTCCCAGCCCTTCAATCCGGCCACACACTCCTCCGCTCAGGTTCCCCAGCAAAGAGGCAGTGTGGCCTCACGTTTCAGGCATCACTTACACACGGAGGGGCCCTAGAGGGGCCAGGAGCTGTCAGCTCCCCTCCCAGCCATGACGCCACCTGCTCTCTGGCCACGGGGGACATAGGGAGCATTCCAGGGCCCTTTCTCCCTACCTTGGGTCCCTGGCTGGGACAAGGCACCAGTGAAGTCCTAGGATGTTTGAGAAAATCAGTCACCAGGAGTTCTGTTTAAAATGCAGATCCCCAGGACTAATATCGGGCATTGGAATCGGTAGGTCTGGGCAGAGCCTGAGGAATCTACACTGGGAATCCTGATGCTGAGTCCTGGGTCCCCTCTGATGATGAGCTGTTCCCCCTCCTGCCACCTGTCACTTATTCTGCAGTTCTTCCCACTGCTGCCTGTCTTCCCAAAGAGCTAATTTGGCCGCTTTGGAAACTAGAGGTTCAGAGTTGATCCTCTGGGTGGTAGTCACAGGCCCTAGGGTATGGGGTTCCTAACCTGGGATCCTTGCAAGCAAAAGGAGGGAGGATGTAACAATTTCATTATTTTTTAAAAAGATTTTCTTTATTCATGAGAGACACAGAGAGAGGCAGAGACATAGGCAGAGGGAGAAGCAGGCTCCCTGCGGGGAGCCCCATGAGGGACTCAATCCCAGGACCCTGGGATCACGCGGCCGAGCCAAAGGCAGACAGATGATCAACCACTGAGCCACCCAGCTGTCCCCAATTTCATTTTTCTTAGTCTTTGAACTGAAATTCAGCATTTCCCTCAAAAATGTGTGATGTCGTCGCCAGTAGAAATCATAGACATTTTCTCAGCACATTAAGCTTTGGAGGTATCTCAAAGTATCCTTTATGCTTACACCGCTACTTTGAAAGTATGATAGTTATAAACCTCCTACTCGATCTTGTTATTTGCTTATCAAGAGGGCCTGTCGCCTGGCCACTTTGCTGAGGGGAAGGGGCAAAAGAACCATCACACATGGTAGTGTGAATGCACATGGTTCAGCTCAGGCTCTAAAACTTTCTGTTTGTCACCTCGCCTCTCTGATCCGGTGGTACCTGCAGCACTTCCCCAGGCCCAGGGTTTCAGGGCAGTGAGGGGGCTCTGTTGCATTCTGTGGCCTCCATGTTATAACACTGGTGGTGGTGGAGGACAGTGTGCCTGCAGCCAGGGCCATCCCGCTGCAGGGACCCCTGTGCCCACTGCAGCAACCCGCCGTCAGCAGAGGGCACTCCCATCTCCCTTGCCTCCCCTGGGAGGTGAGGACCTCCCAGCCCTTCTCAGGGGAAGGGCTGCCTCAGGAGAAAGGCTTTCTACATCGCCTTTGTCACTGGAGGGAAATCCCCTCACAGGCCAACACCTGACCTGTCTATACCAGGGAACACACCAGTTCTCTGCTTCTCACAGAGAATGACAAGCACCCCCTAGGGCTAGACCCAGTTCTAGGCACAGGGTGGTGGTGGTGGTGGGGGGGTGAGTCACAGTGAATAAGGCAGAGGTCCCGCCTTTGGGGGCTGTTTCTGCCGTTCCAGGTGGGTGAGGCCTCGGCATCTCAAGGGGACAGCCGGAAATTTAGAAATGTCTTCTTTCAACAAAGCCTATGTATGACAACTATTGCTGGAGAATTCAAAGTCCCAAGTTTGGGAGTCAAACTGAGCACCAGAGTATTTTTGCTTCATTGGGTGGTTACACACCACTCACATCAATACTCTTGAGATAAACTCACCCTCAGGTGTCACCTGCCCTGAGGAAGGGAGGAAGGGGTGGGGGGTTGTCCTTATCTCCAGTGGGCCCACCCACAGGGCTTCTGGGCTGGAGCAGGGGGCGGGGGAAGCCAACAGGGTTTGTAAGGCACAGGGACCTGGGTCTGAGCCACTTGCTCGGGGAGTGACAAAAAAGATGACATTAATATTTTATAACACGTACTCACATTGCACGTGTGTTGTATGGTGCTGCGTGCTCTGTCCTGGCCGGGAGCTCTCTGAAAGATCTCTCTTTTCCTTTCTGCCAGCCACTTGCCAGGCTCTTTAAATGACTTATGTATTGCCCCAACCATCTGTGGCAGATAAGTCTCATTCTCTCCTCCTCCTCCTCCTCCTCCTCCTCCTCCTCCTCCTCCTCCTCCTCCTCCTCCTCCTCCTCCTCTTCTTCTTCTTCTTCTTCTTCTTCTTCTTCTTCTTCTTCTTCTTCTTCTTCTTCTTCTAATAGATGAGAAACCTGAGGTTAAGATAAATAATGTGTCCCCACAGTCCCCAGGAACAGAGACCAGCACAGGTGGCTGCTCTCGATCCTGGACCAGATTTTTATCCTCCACACGCTTCACCTCAGGAAAAGTCTGGATCATACCATATCTTTCCTTCCCTGCATTTGCCTCCCCGCTGGGCACCTGGCTTCTGGTCCTGCCCTATCTTATCAGTCTCTCTCCTGCAAGGCAGTCAGGGAAGCTCCTAATGCAGAAGTTTGACTGGCTTTGACCCTGCTTTAAAACCCTGCCCTGAAGCCTCATGGCCTCAGTATAAAATCCAGATTCCCTATTGTGCCAGTTAAAGCCCCTGAGAACTCGGGGTCTCTCCAGCTCCCCTCTGTCTTTGCATTTCAGTCCTGTTCCAACCCTACTAATGCACCTTGCTCTCCATCCAGGACTATGATTTTCCTTTGCTTTTGCTTCTACTATCATTTCTGCTTGGGGCTCAACTCCAAAAGCTGTTGCTCTCAGGACTGGTGGCAGGGCCTTGGGCACACTGGCCATGCGACATTTAAAAATATAATTTGGGAAAAAAAAACACATATGGCTTGGAATGACGTTTTCCAACAGAGTTCTCAGGCATTAGCTACTTGAGTTACATTTATTGGACATTCAACATAGATGAATATTGTTCTGAACAGTAGTAATATTGGAGAGGTGTCCTCTTAATATTTCACCAGGATGGTGAACATTTCTCTTGCTAGGGTCAAGGATGGTAAGCTCTATAGTAGTTCTCTTTCATTGGGTGTGGCTTGATAGGAGAAATAAAACCCTAAAAATCAGAATGACAACAATAAAAATAATGTATGATTTCAACTAAAAGTTGCAGGGCATCTAAATCCAGTGGTGCTTTTGTCTCAAAAACCTTTGTTATTGGGGAAGCTTCTTGTGTCACCTTGTTGATTTCTAATTTTATATATATATATATAATAAGCTGTGGGCACCTGCCTACAAAATATCCAGTGTTGCTCATGGAACGCTGTAAACCAGCACAATGCAAAGGTTCCAGTGGTGGGTAGTGATGCCCTAGCTGGACACTGTAGCCGGGCACAGCCCTCCACCTGCTAACCCAATGCAAAGACCCACTGCTGGGGTTGCTCGTGGCACCAGGAAGCAGAGAAGCCATCGAGGATCTGGCCAGGGGCTATATGTTCCCCCCACAAGATCTGGGGATGTGTATTATAAACAGAGTGTTTCTTAGTTTCTTGACCTCTTTCAATTAGGATTGAAGATGGGGTCTTGTTTGCAAGGAACTACTTGAGTTGTCTCTGCTTATTTCAGGCTCTTAGTCTGGAAGGGAGATTCACACCCAGGTGTTTGTAACCTGAGGGATATTAGTCCCACAGCAGGGGCAATTCCTGTCAGATTAAAGCCAGACAGAGTAAGAGACCTAGATAGGCATGTCCTACACAGCTCATGAGGAAAACTGCAGCCAGGTGGTGTCTCTGGCCACGGATTTTATGTATTTGCTTCTTCCTGCCTCCATCTCAGGAGGCAGAGTCAGGGAAAGAGAGCTTGGAGCTGGGATTCCAAGGCTCTGTTACTTCTGCCTATAGGAGTAAGGACAATTAACAACTGGAAAACTCTCACAAGCAAATGCGTTAAATGAGAAAAGTCAAACCCCATTTACAGACAGTGACAGATCCTTCTTCAGCCCTCCACTATGTGGAGATCATAAGCAAGATACTGAAGATTTCTATACCCTCCTTTTCTTCATCTGTTGGGTAGAGGTGATTCTGCTACAACTCCTGCAAGGGTCCTTTGGGCATAGAGGGAGACAGCATGGCTATAAACAGAACACCTGGAAGTCCTGAGGAGTTCAGAGGGGTCTCTGGAGCGCCTGCTCACCACCACTTGGCTCACAGCTGCAGTGCGTGGACTTGTGCATGGAGGGCCCCAGAGACCAGCTCTTCTTCCTCTGTTCCTCTGTGCACCTGCCTCAAAGCCCATTATGGCCTATAACCGTTTCACAGAGGTGTGGCCACAGTGGCAGAAGGGTCAAACTCACCCTATTACTGCCCCATCTCTCTCTGGCCCCTGCTGCGTTCCCTCCAGTTTATTGGGCTCTGTGGGGGAGCAGTTTCTACTCCATTCCACAGAGCAGCACTAAGCCCAGGCTGTGGTGTGCCATCCTCTTCATCCACAGCCTGCTGATCACCGGTTGAGGGTATAGCAGAGCTCAGAGCAGGAAACCTTAAATCAGGACTTTTTAACAGCCTGAAGATCCTTGGCCACTTCCGCCATGGGAATCCCATCCCGCAGATGTTTTCTTCTGCCACTTTGTTTCCAGAGCCCCCTCTTCCTAGGGAGACAGGGCTCATCCGATAAACTAGAAGGTCAGGGTAATTATGCACAGTTCCGGGCGGAGAAAATGTCCTTACAGTGGGCAGGAAATTCCCCCTTTTAAGGTCCTTAGAAAGCCATTAGACCAGTGGTTAAAATGCTCCTGGTAAACATGGACGATGGCAAAGAAAGCTGGAAATGACCCAGGGAGACTTCACTTGAGA